GGAAAACCTATTACATATTATGCTATTGATGTTTTCATAAAACTTTGGAAGTTAGTATGTTGATAACTGTTTTATTATATATATATATATATATATATCAACTTGGTCCCCTCATGTTTGTTTTGAGCCCCTTCAGGACTTAGAATGGAGGCATACAATCCTAGCATCAAGACACTTCCACATTGGTATCTTCGAGTCCTCTCGTTGTAGGACCCATTCCTTGTTCATTGAATTTTTATATTAATTCTTTTAGTGTTCTAAATTAGATGTGTGCTCTGAACACGTTCCTTAAATGCATATTCATTATATTTAAATTTATAAGTCTCATATATACTCATAGTTCTCATCATTTGCATTCAATAAATGGCTTTCGTCACCCTCGGGTGTCGAGCAGCACATGTCCATCTTGGTGTTCGGGGAATATTGGGATCAGGACGTGTCAAGTTCAACCCGTCTTCGACCATTTTTGCAAAATCATTTCAACCTGTCTTCGACCACTCTTGCAAAATCAGTTCAACCCATCATTGACCATTTTTCCATAATCAATTCAACCTGTCCTTAAATAGAATCAGTTCAACCCGTCTTCAACGTTTAACCTGTCTTTGACCATTTTTGCAGAATCAGTTGAACCCGTTTTCGATCATTTTTGCAAAATCAGTTCAACCCCTTGAACTTTTTTGCAGAATTAGTTTAACCCGTCTTAGACTATTTTTGTAGAATCAGTTCAACCCGTCCTCAATCATTTTTGCAACATCAGTTCAACCCCTCGATCATTTTTGCATAATCAGTTCAACCCATCTTCGACTATTTTTGTAGAATCAGTTAAATTCGTCTTCAACCATTTTTGCATTTTGTGCATAATCAATTTAACCCGTCTTCTATTATTTTTGCAAAATTAGTTTAACTGTCTTCAACTATTTTTGTAGAATCAGTATAACTTGTAAATATAAATATTTTGTTTTCATCATCGCAAATGTAAAGAGGAGAATTGCTAGCAAGACTTGCCGCTAAAGAGAGTTCACCAATCGATGGAAACCTGTTTCGCAACTTAAAGCATTTAATTGCAATGCGGAGCCATTTTAAGAAAAGTAAAATAATAATAAGAAAAACTGCAAAACTATCCATTTTGGGCCCATTGTTTTCATCTTCATCACCCTTCACCATCTTTATGCAAGATTGCAACACAGTCTCCACCTTCAACCAAAGTGGTTCCACCACCACTACCAAACTAACCCATTTTTTTCTTTTCGTTTCTTAATTTTTCTTTCTTTATATAATTTGCAGTTTAATTTTATAAACCAATTAAGAGATTCCAATTAAAACATCATGCCTTGCTGCACATTTCAAACTTGGTTTTGATGTCTCCCTACACATTTCAAATCTGAAAGGTGGTGATAAGCAGTCAGTTGAATCAAAACCTCTTATATGAACCTAGTGTGGAAGTTTAGACGAAGAAAGAAAGGGGTTTGGCTGGGTGAGGACTAAGGAGATATCGGAGTGCCAATGGTGGATTGGATGGGTGTAAGTTTTATTGACGGTTTGCCGATATCGAAGCGAAGTGGGGTGAGTGGGTGGAAGTCTTATTGACGGTTTGTTTCCTTCAAAATTCATATAAAATTCTAATTCGATGAGATAACAGAAGAAAAAATGTCTGATCTTGAAATGAAGAATGTACGCGGAGATGGAATGACCAAATTGTCAGGCGAGAGATCTTTAACTGCAAACTCGCTTTCATATCCTCCAACAACAAACACACATTTGACTATGGGATTGCACGTTAGTGGTAGTGAGCGTTTATTTACAGTTATATTTTTCTTGTTAACTTAACAAAGAATGTTGAATCCCACATCGAAAATCGTAAGCGTTGGAAGCGTTATATAACAATATATAAGACTTTCGACCGTGTACTTGTTTCTATTAGATATAGGTTAAATACTCTAATTATATTATATTCATCTTAAATAAATTAACTAATTTAAGTATTTTTTTTATAAAAACTAATATATTTACCAAATATTAGTGGATGCAAAACTTAAAATCAAATCTAAAATATTAGAATGTAAATAATTATTGGCGATATGGCTTCTATATAAAGGCCATATTACACCTTAGGTACACTTTCCATATATTCAATTTTCTTTTTATAATCAAAACCATTTATTTATTTTTAAATATAAATTAAAACCAGTTTTGCATTTCTCTCCACATTAAACATTCATCTTAGTATTCTACACTTGTTGCTTATCGAGTTTGGAAGAAGAAACGTTGTGTTTCTATGCGCATCCTCAACAAGGAAATGTCTAAAGCTGCTGCATCTTTCTCCACATATCCTCCCCATTCGGTACTAAACAATTTACATACATTTTGTGAACTATATATAAATACTATTTCTGAACATTACTAATCATACTTATTATATGTTAATTTTCCTTTTAATTTCTTAATAACGAGATATAGGAGTGCATGCATACGTAATTTGGAATTCATGGCAAATAATGCCATTGCATGCATTTGAAAGTTAATGCATGAGGCATTTGTGTGATATATAATGTTCTTTTTCTTCTCAAATATCTCTAAAATGCCTCTGTGAGTCTTCACCATGGTAGTCTATTCTTTTGGGGGCCAGGTCACAGAGACATTTTAGTCTCTCTTTAGCTACCATCATATGATTGACCAACGCCAAAAATGAAACCCAAGATATGCCGTATGAAATATGAACATGAAATTCGTCCTTTACTACTGAACTACCTCATGATGGGTTGTAGCGTTGTTATATGATAAGGTTTTACGTGAAATGAGGCGAGATAATGAGCATGTCTAATAAGTGCATGTAAAATTTCGTTTCCAAACGTTCTCTAAACCAAAGTGACCTTTATTTTGTAAGATCATTGTGTCGTTAGTTTCCAAACATGAAGTTACAATATAGGATTCTTCTTTGGCCTTGGTATCTCTTAGATATCTAAATTCGAAACACAAACAAAATATCAGCGTGATAACATTTTATTAACTTGCCTCACATTATATCAAAGATTATCTTATGGTTAGGTTGAAAAAGTTGAAGCCAAATTGGTCCAAAGCAGCCAAGAGGTGGGTGTGAAATAAGGGACGGATTTTTTCTCGGTATCGGTATTCAAGCAGTATTCCACATGCCATAATATAAATAGAGGAAATGATATATATTTTTTGTGTACCTCAATTTATTTTATGACAAGTTTAGTTCCTAATAGAATATCAGACACTTTGAAAAATTTCTTGAAATAAGAAGAACAAATTACAAAAATGAGTTAACTGCTACATAACATCTCGATCTACTAATATATTGTTATAACATGACAATATGTTATTGAACGATGAACCATTCTATGGCCTGGTTTGATATTGAGGTGATTCTGAAAAAAGCTGGTATAAAAAAAAGCTAGGAGTTGTTTTTGTGTTTGGTAAACATTCAGCTTCAGCTTTTTTTCACAGTTTTGGGTGAAAAAAAGCCAAAAACAAGAAGCTACAAAACCCAGCTTTGAAAAACCGGTTTTTTTTTCACATTTGTTTTACATAAAAGTTTACCAAACATTATAATACTGTTTTTTTTTTTTCAAAAGCACTTTTACAAAAAAGTTTACCAAACACTCTACTGATTTATTTCACAGCAGCTTATTTTCATAACACAATAGAAACAGTTTTTTTTTCAAAGTACAACAATACCAAACTAACCCTATATAAGTTCCCCGTCTGAAATAAGGAGAGGCCTGTTAAACTGATAATTGTGCCGGTTATACACAAAAGTGATGTGGAGCTTTAGACCTGGTTTGGTACTGAGGTGATTCTGAAAAAAGCTGCTATCAAAAAAAGCTGGGAACTGTTTTTGTGTTTGGTAAACAATCAGCTTTAGCTTTTTTTCACAGTTTTGGGTGAAAAAAAGCCAAAAACAAGAAGCTGCAAAACCTAGCTTTGAAAAACCAGCTTTTTTTCACATCTGTTTTACATAAAAGTTTACCAAACACTCTAATACTGTTTTTTTTTATTTTCAAAAGCACTTTTACAAAAAAGTTTACCAAACACTCTGCTGCTTTATTTCATAGCTGCTTATTCTCACAGCACAGCAGAAGCAGCTTTTTTTCAAAGCACAGCAATGCCAAACCAGCCCTTAGACAAAGTTTAGAATATCCCCCACCGGCCCTTCCCACTCACATCCCTTTCTGTGTGACAAAATTAAATGCATTCTTTATTTTAACCAATATTTATTTGTTTATTTATTTTCGGATTGGACCTGTTTCTGCAGTTAGTTTTCAAAATTTTATTTTGTTATTTGAGCTTTTTTTTATCATTATATAATTCTTACAATGGTTTTTTTTCAATTCAAAGCAACGCCTCAACATTTGAAGTAGGAGTGTGAACTATAATGTTAATTTAGTGATCTTTTAGTCCGATGATCATTAGTTTAAGCTTAGTTATTGTTTATCTTATGATTATTTCGTTTAGTGAAATCAAAACATAATTTTTTAATAAAAATTTTGTTAAGGTGAACACAAAAAATTACATAAATTCCCTTGTATTTTAGAGTATTTATTTTCACATTTGAAATTATTTTCCAACATTTTCAATAAAATCTTCAATCCACTATCTTTCAAGTTCGAGTCATAACCATCACATTATTGCTTGTAAAAGAAATATACTTAATGTTAAAACATCGAACATTTTATAGTATAGCAGTTGCATGTGGTAAACAGTTAAATTTTACTTTTAGTCAGAAGGGGCATCGATGAAGATCGAATCCGAATAAACGATTTTTATTCATTGGGTTTTATATTTTTTGTTTTGTTTTGTCAAACGATAGATTTTATTTGATTAATTATTAAACTAGTCACCGACGGAGTTTAAATTCTTGTTCTCATGTAATAACTCATTTTGTATGATAAGAGACAACTTGCTCAACGGGTTTTATGTAAAAAAGTAAATAATAAAAAGAAGGTGAAAAAGTAAAAAAGAAGAAGGAAAAAATGTGCGACCATTTCAAAGCGAGCTTCTCGCAAACTCAAAGGCAATCTCTATCTGGTGGAGAGGAGAGAGAGCGATGACGATGACGATGCTAGTGAGCATTGTCGGTCTTCTTCTCCTTATGCTTCTTCTGATCCTCCTCCTCATCTTCCTCGCCTGCAAACCATGGCGCTTCTTCTCCTCCTCCTCTCGTTCTCGCACTATCAAGGTATTCTCCTCCTCCCCTCTTTTCTTTCCACTTTTTCCCCCAATTTTTTTCAATTCAGAAATTCTCAGAGGTTCGGTTTCGATCCTCCTTTCCGTTCGAGAGCGCGCCATTAGTGTAATGTTCTGTTTGGCTGCTGAGAAAACGTAGGAAAAAAGGAAGGAAAATTTGAATTTTTTGACGCAACGGATTTGACCTTGTTTTATCGCTGGTTTTCGGGTTTTTTTTTCCTCCGTTTTAATGGGAATTTCTTATTTGTTTCGGATTTTGAGTTATAGCTTAGAGCCTAAGATTTGTAGGTTTGTGCCACTTTGATCAATTTAGCTCGGAATGTGTGAGTAGCATTTGTGGTGATTTGAGCGTGATCAATGATTTGATGCGTAAAATTGAATTTGTTTCGTGCTTCTATTGGTGCCCTCTAGTTTTGTGAGGGTTTGATATTACGTATCTTGGTAAAGTTGAAGACTTTGAAGCCGGGAATTTGAGCTTTTGTGGGTTAATGTTAGAACTTAGTTGTTGTTTAGTGTTTTTGCTGATGTTATGTATGCGACTCTATTGAGCTGTTTACTTCATTTCATATTCAAGTGGTTGATGGTTTCTATTGTTGAAAATTCTATGATTATATGTTTTCTATTGTTTAGTTTTCTGCTTTGCGTTTGTCACCTTCAAGAAAGTAATGAAATCAGAAGCCTACATTGCGAAAAGAGTAATTGAACGAGTGCCAAGGTGTGGTGCTCTAGCGCACGAGCTTTATACAAGAGACTAGAAAGTAACAAAACTACACACTCTATCAAAGGGTGAAAAGGGCAGATGCTACGTGACCCTTCGAAAACCCAAGCCATCCCACTAGATGATTTGTTGTCTCGTGTCTCTATTAGTATTCTCAATGAATACCTGAATACCAAGTGCTTCTTGGGTATATGATTTATCATTTGGTTTACCCTATGGTTCATAAGCTTTTTCACACCTTGTAATTCTTCATTTAGGTCGGTGAGCTTGAGAGACCCCTTGTTTCGGATGATGCGGATCTGGTCCGGAACCAGGGCATTGATTTTCCAAGAGGTTACGATCTAGAGGGAGCATGCTTTCCAAGTGAAGGGAATTTTCGCTCACCCCGACCACAAGGACTTGTGCATAAGCCGAGGCTTCCCACTGCAGCTCCCATTTTGGCTCAAGGTAATTAAGTTTATCAAGTTATTCCACATTTAAATAATTCTTTTACTAGTTGCATTTAAGTGCAATTTCACTCCTTAGCAAAACCAGACATTTATGCTTCACTTGTTTCAGGTGATAGCTTGGTCCTGGATGTGATTTCTGATGCTCCAGAGGATATTTTGGTTGGTCAGACACTGAAGCGTCCATTTGCAATCCAGCAGTTAGTGGAAGAGCAGAAGAATGGTAGACAGAGTTCAGAACAAGAGAGATTTCAAGAGGTTCTGCCCAAGGATGCCTTGAATCAAAGTAATTTCTTATCGCTTTCACATGTTTGAAGTGTTTATTCTTCTAATGGTTTTTTATACAGTTGAGTGTGTAAAACATGTGATCATATTCTTCTTTTAGAAGTGCAGGAACCTGCCTCAACCTGGAGGTCATATCTGGTCCTTCCCATGGACTTCGTTGTTCCATACAGTCAACAAGTACCTCCAGGCTTCCTATGACCCTAGGAAGGGTTCCTCCAAGTGATTTATTATTGAAGGACTCGGAGGTGTCAGGAAAGCATGCATTGATAAACTGGAATTCAAATGTAAGCATAACTACAACTACCTCTTTGAACTTATTGGCATTGCATCTGTGTGTTTGTGGTATAATAATTATGTTATTCCTGATCACTGGCTGCAGAAAATGAAATGGGAGCTGGTAGACATGGGCAGCCTGAATGGAACACTTCTGAACTCTCAGCCAATCAATAATCCTGATTCTGGAAGTCGAAATTGGGGTAACCCTATGGAGCTTGCAAGTGGAGACATAATAACACTCGGAACGACCTCAAAAGTGTTTGTAAGTCAATGCGCCTTATATCTGAGTGAAGAAAATAAAATGTATATCTGCATTTAGAAAGTATAACATTACTGTTTTTTTCCTTAATATTGATCATTTTCATGCTAATTAAATATAATTAGGCAGAACATACACATAATTGAGAAAAGCTGACATTCTGGCTGCGTACATAGATACATTTACCGTGAATTTCTCACATTAATCTAATGTTACTTAGGCTGTATGTTGTTTCTGCAACTGAGAAGAATTTATATCAGAAAATATAAGTTTCAATGAATACAAGTACTTGGATTCATGTGGTATACAAAATAGGTGCAAGACCCAAGATCGCTTGTTCTAACCCTGCCTGTGTAAATATAATAGGACAAACCTACCATTATATCATAACGTTCTATGATACAGAGGCTTAAATTCTGTGCTACTTAGATGACCCCCTTAATGATTTCTTTTCATTTCTGTACAAGCGCCTCTTTTATTGAGCATAACAAACAGGTTCCTTTTAGAAAACTGATCTATAGTCTGTATATGAATATTATTTTCTGTTGTGGGTAAGGCTTTGTTTGATATCATAGTTGTTTATTCTATATTTATTATCCTAATTCGCTTAGTTTTTGGCTTTATAACGAGGATATCTAGTGTTTACAAATTGTATTGTATAGCTGACATAACATTTGCTAATTTCCTATAGGTTCATATAGCATCGGAAACTGAGAGTCAGGTCCCGTTTGGAGTTGGCGTGGCTTCAGATCCCATGGCTCTGCGTCGTGGAGGGAAGAAGCTTCCAATGGAAGATGTGTGCTACTATCAATGGCCTCTTCCTGGGGTTGATCAGGTTTCAGAGCTTATCTCATTGTGTTTTCTTCTATTGAAATACTTTTGTAAGTTTCTGAACAAGTTAATATCACCTAAGTTCTTGCCCTTCAGTTCGGACTTTTTGGTATCTGTGATGGACATGGTGGAGCAGAGGCCGCCATATCTGCTAGCAAGTTAGTATTTCTTTTACAATTTAGTGTCCTATGTTTGTACTGGATTCTTTAGTAGTTACCTTATAGTCCTTTTATTTTACAGGCTTCTTCCTCAGATCATTGCCAACATTTTATCGGATTCACTAAAAAGGGAGAGGGTCTTGTCAGTATGTGATGCTTCAGATGTTCTCAGGGAGTCATTTTTACAGACAGAAACATGCATGAATCACCATTATGAGGTTTCCCATTTCACTTGATTCACCTTGGTCCATTAGTTTGCACTTTTTGTGTTATTAGAAACTAAAGCAGTTGACTCGCACACATCTAAAATTGATTCCTTTCTCATACATTTCAGATGTTTCTGTTACTAGTAGTTAAAGTTTGCGGTTTGCATAAATATAAGGGACCATATTTTGCAGGGCTGTACTGCGACTCTGCTTCTAGTTTGGACTGATGGTAGTGACAGTTTCTTTGTACAATGTGCAAATCTTGGAGATTCAGCTTGTGTTATGAAGTATGTGTTTGCCTATTTGTCTTTCCATTAGGATAAAAGTAAACCTGTGATTCCCTGTTTTAAACTGAGTATGATTTAATTGTGGCAGTGTTGATGGGAAGCTGATTAAGATGACCGAAGACCATAGAATTAGTAGTTCTGGTGAAAGACTCCGAATCCAGGAAACGGGAGTGCCTCTGAAAGAGGGTGAAACACGACTATGTGGTAATGATTACTTCATTTTGTTTGTGAATTACATGATTAGTTGTTGGGGATTGCCCACGCTTTTCTTCACATGTTCAGGTTTGAACCTTGCCCGGATGCTTGGAGACAAATTTCTTAAACAGCAGGATTCCCGCTTCAGTTCAGAACCATACATTAGCCCAGTGGTGCATGTCAATCAAGCGAGCAATGCCTTTGCGATAATGGCCAGGTTAGGGCGCCTTTCGATTTGACTTTGTTTAAAGCTTACATTCTGAAATTCAATACCGCACAAGAGAAAAATACAATGCTTATGGATGATGGAAATTAACTCTGGATTTGAAATTGCAGTGATGGCTTATGGGATGTAATTAGTCCAAAGAAGGCGATTCAGCTAGTCCTTCAGGTATATATTTTTTTCTTTTACTAATTTTTCTGTGAGAAGTATCAATATTTTATTCTTTACTCGCTTAACGTCTTTTGTGTTCTGGGTTTTTGAACTTGGTGTTGTACAGACGAAAGAGAGATGCTCGATGGACGGGGAGAATTTGGCGGAGAAGAATGCTAATATTTTGTTGAGTGAGGCTAGAACAGTGCGAACAAAGGATAATACTTCTATAATTTTCTTAGATTTTGATACTTCTAGGATCGCATGTAAATCTGAATCTTGATATGAGTTATATAAGTTATAGTTTCAACACAGAACTAGGTTTCTCTTCTTTTCTTATGTTTCACCTTCGTCGCTCTTCAGATCCCAAAATCTAATAGATACAGTTTTACCTTTCTCTCTCCCCCTCCCTCTCTCTCCCTCTCTCTCTCTCTCTCCCTTTTACCTACCAAACAAGTCTCATGCAAGCCCTACATATTTTTCATGTAAGATTTGTTTATCAACAAGCAAAATGGACGATATCGTAATGTGTCTTGAAATTGGAAAGTTATTTTTTGGTTGAAGGCTACTTTTATTACAAATGGACAAGCAAAAACCGGGCCAAGACAAACAGAGTACAGAGGGTCCAACTAACCGTTGAAACCCAAACACACAAACGAATTTACAGACTCTAGAAACATCAACTGCATCAGCCACCGCCATGGTAAACCTCGAGTCATTCAATTCCTCGTCCAGAGTCGAGCATTACCTCTTCAAATGCAGCATTCTACCTCAATCTGCTTCACGAGCATAGCCACAAAGAAAGGATAGCTAGCAACTGATCAAAGGAAGCCAACTATCGGGATGAAGTCCGTGGAAGCCTGTGAACAACGCTGCCGGTAAAGGCAGATAACCAGGTGAAGGTGGTGGTGTTGGAAACACCTGAGTCGATGAAAACGTCGGAGCTCTACACACGATCTCCACGATATTCATGGCTGAGAATCGGAATAAAGATGAACAAGAGGAAAAGATGAACAAGAGGAGGGATACCAATTGGGCAAGAGGGATATAATAGATCAGGGTAAAGGGCAAGAGGAAAGAGCAGTAGAAACAAAGAGTAGAGAAAAAAAATAGAGAAGGTAGGAAACAGCGACCAAGGCTAGGGTCGGTGCTACCGGGTTTTCTTAATTTTTGAAGCCTCAACAAAGTGCTCTTAGATGATGCACCAAGTGAAGGTGGTAATTTGCCAATAGCACCACACCTTGTGGTTAATGCAAATAATATTTTTGAAGTGTTGATAACAAATTTTTTTTTTTTTAATTGCCTGAATATTTTATTACCCGTAAACAACACAGTTCAATCATTTATGACGATCTCTCCAAAATAGCGCAGACATATCGACAAATATCTCTTCTATTATGAAGACCACGGAGCGGCGAAGCTTACCCGAAAAATATTTTTTATTTATATTCATGCGGTCGGATCGTACCAATATCAATTCATTTGATTCTATTTATCCAAGGCAAGGAGTAATATCTCATGGAAGGGCCCTTTTGCTTTCTTATCATTGGCTTCTTCGTTGTTGAAGTGAAAGTGAAATATGCATCAGCAAACATGAGAAAGAAAAGAATTGGAAAGTGAAAGAGAGCTGTTATTAGCACTCAAAAAATCTCATTCTACACTTCTCACAAGTGTATTTTTCTTTTTAATTATAGAAAGTTTGAAGTACCAAATGAGACCTTTAGAGTGCTAATAACAATTCTCAAGTAAAATATTAATATTATTATTTTCTGGATTACGGTGTGTGGCAGCTGGTTTAAATGTACTCCATTGCTGCAGCATTGCAATGCTTTCACCCTCATTCCACCATCAATTGCTATAGCTAGTCACACCATAAAATCAACCAAAACAAAAATCACAACATCAGATGATGCAGCTACCATATATATATATATATATATATAACCCTGCATACCGAGTAACTATGAGGCTATGAGTTAACTACGTCATTATATATATATATAGATATATGTATGTATGTATGTATGTTCTCCACACATTATATGCTTGACTTTCTTAATGCTAGCTACAATCTTTGGAATGTTTAATTTTTTTTATTACTAGTTTTTAATCATGATTGGTTTACATATATTTAGTTAATCCTCCAAGTCTATAATTTTTGGATAACTCGATGAGGGAAATTTCCTAACATAGTACTATAGTAGTAGTGTTATTCCTCATCAGTCAGCTAGTCTAGTGTGCTTACAAACGTTACTTTTGTTCTAATAAAACTTTAAATAGCTACAGCTACTTTTTAAGGCCAAATGCAGAAACTCTAGCTGGGCTTTGATCATCTAGAAACCCTAATATTATCTGCAAAAGGATATTAACAATTTAACAAGTAATTTAGTTCAATGATTACCACTATAATGCCATGGTAGTGGAAGTGAAAGTGCCAAATGACGCATGCAGGTTCTGTTTTTCTTTGGCACTTATGCCGTCCAAATTTAGAGAAATATTCATACATAAATCAATATCGGTGGAAATATCGTTTAAAATTATCTAATGACAGAAGCTAACTAGTAGCATAAAAGTTGAAAAAGTGAAAGCAAGTTGGAAGAAATTGACTTCAAGCACAATGCTACGGTTTTATACAATTCAATTTGAATTAAGTTGTATAAAATACATTTTCTCTGTTCTATTCCTTTTGTTGTTGAAACTTGAAAGAATTGTTTTTAGGGGCAATTTCAAATTTTATGTTGTTTTGATTGCCTCTCAATTTCAAATTACACAATTAAGATACCGACTAGCAACTATAAAGAATCTTATTATTAAATTTTTACTGAAATATCTCTAAAATCTCCAAAATTTGTACCAAAATTTTACCGAAACTATCGATATTGCTGAAATATATCTGAAAATTTGCAGAAATCTTTAGGGGTGGTTCGGTATGGGATACCATACCGATACTAGTATCCCGAATCCTAAACCGAAATTTTTCGGGACGGAAATTTGAAGACCAATCCCAAACCAAATTTTCGGGAATCCCAAATTTTGGGAATTCCAAAATATTTTCGGGATTTTGGGACAAATTGGGAATCCCAAATTGAAATACGAAATTATGAATTGTTCTTCGAATATATAATTCAAGAATACATTTATGAACTAGGAATTTCATTTCATTCACACTACCATTTAATTGAACACTAGCATGCTTGACTCTTTTTATCATAGTCAAAATTCAAATTAATTAAACTCTTTTTGCAATCTGTTGAGAGATAAAAGAATCAAGCCTTCTGAAATCATCAGCCATGGCAGCAGCAATAATAAAATCCACATGAATATCAAACAGAACATGAAAAATATGCAAGGTGTAGGGCATTCTAGGTTACTGAGCATGAATTAGAAACTACTAGCATCAATTATAAAAGAATAATATATATATGTATAAATATATATAATAATTAATATTATATATTTTCGGTTTGGTATGGGATTCCCGAAATATCGAGAAGCCAATCCCGAATCCCATACCGAAATTTTGGGATTGGTTCGGGATAGCATCCCGAAAATTTCGGGAATTTCGGTTTGGGAAATTTTTGGTATGGGATCGGGATTTTTTCAGTTCGGTTTGGGATTTTCGGGAATTTTTTCCACCCCTAGAAATCTTGCAAAGATATCACTTCACTCTCTTTCATTATTAGCAACCCCATTTACAGATATATCAGAGATATTCAAATTCAGGTAATGTTAGAGAGACTAAATTTTTTAAATCAAATTTGCAAACCAAATGATGTGGTTATAGATGATTGAATGTTAATTAAGTGTCGACTAAAATGTTTGTTTCTTATTGGTGACACATTATTTGGTTTGCAAACTTGATTAAAAAAATTGGGGCATTTTGATACAGATGCCTAGTTTTTGAAATTTTGAGATTAAACATCCATGCCTTTTAGAATTTTGATTAAATATTTTCCTACAATTTAGGTTCCACTTAATACAAAACTACACGATTTGCCATTATATGCACTTTACCAATTAGCTATAAAATCTCTAGTGGTTATGATTTAGTATTCAATTTCAATAGAAATTCTTTTACAATTTAAAAAAACGACTTGATAATTTCTTCTGCTTCTTGCGTACCTTTTTCTTCCAACTCCACACCATATTAATTGATAGCATATGTCAATGTCAAATTGCCATCGAAGATGGTGGGGTACGATATATTGTACACCTTCAAATCTGAATATTTACACTAAAGTGTAAGCCTTTTGTTTTACCACACCTTGTATCGATATTTTCATAATTTTTCACATACCATGGTACGTTTGGAAAGTTCTCTTCGATTGACTCAATTTCCTTTTAGATATTATAGTGGGTATGTTTCATTTGAACATGAGTACGTTTCAAATTGCATGGTACGTTTTAATTTGACATTGGTACGTTTTAATTTAACTTTGGTACATTTTAATTTGATATTGGTTCGTTTTAATTTGACATTGGTACGTTTCTATTTGAAAAATAAATTGTGGTGATCCATGTCAAGAGATACAAGATGCAATATGTGTGCATATTCAATAATGGTGGATATAAAGATTGTGGAACATTCATAAGCCAATAAAATAGATCATTGTTTATGAACGTCTAATCTCTCTATACCCCCTAACAAATTGTAGCTTATTTTTAGTAGTTAGTCTATGTCTATCTCTTTCTCTCTCCCTTGCAAAAGTATTCACGCATGTATCTCTCTTTTGATGAACTGGGTGAGAGAAACGAAAAAGCAGAAAACATGGTCTATGATCTTTAGGGAGATAATTAAGAATTAATAAGTGATATTAAAGGATAAACTAGAAATGAGGAGTATATATCCTTTTACTTTGAGAAAAATACATTAACAACAGATAATGAATTAAATTAGAAAATGGATGTGGACATAAATTAAAGCACCCTAATTAAATTTTTAAAAGTTTAATCAAAACTTAAAAACCTACAAATGTTTAGTTTAAAAAATGTGAAAAAGAAGTGGTAGAATCTAATTTTCTCTAAAAATTGATCTCCTTATTATTACTCTTTAAATCCTTGCATCAACAGATAACATAGTTAAAAGTCGAAACTACAACTACAAGCTCTAGAAAGTGTTGAAAACTAAACCAAAACAATTAAGCAATAAACAAAACACAAACGATTTCAGAGTTTCTTCAATATAGGAGTACCTCTTTAACAACGGAAACTTTATTGATTACCAACAAATACAAGAGAACTCACAAACACAAAGTATTCTATACAAACTTATGCCTCTCAAAACTCTCACACAAAACTCTATCCCATATACATCTATTTATACTAATAGATGTCATGGGTACATAAAGTCCCTAGAATACCAAATCCAATACTAAAACCGAATCCCAAACCAACTAA